TCGCCTCGGCCCGCACCCGCGGCCTTGCCCCGCCCGAAAGGAGATCCGGGTGCTGGCTCCTTTGGAGACGATCGGGAAGCGTGGACAGTGTTTCCCTGGGCCAGATCGGTTTTGTGGGGACAGTGAGCTTCGTTACCTTTTCTGAGAAGTAGTAGGGATCCTTTGAGAGGAATGACCTTTTTATGGACTAAGAAGGTACATAAGCTTCATGCCAACGCCAGGCCCTGCCATGTGTGCGTCTGTGCGTGTGTGTCCTGGGTGGATGCCAGTCCCTGCCCAGCCTTGGACCAGGTTACCACTTAGAAGGGCAGATCTACTATGACCTTGTGAGTTTCTAAGAGAAATCCGGAATCTGAAGCGTAAGTGAAGTCTTCTGTTTAAGTATTGGCAGCTAATTAAAGCACACGCACACTTTGCAGGCTGATCTGCAGTGTTGTTGGTGGCACCCACCTTGGCCTGTGTCCTGGGGCATGGAGAAGTGGGGCGATAAAGTTCACCAAGGTCAGAGCGCACCTGGAGCTCTGACACCCCCGGAGAACTGCCGAGGGGTGGATCGCTCAGCTGCCTGGCTCGTTTGCAGTTTTTACAATCTGGGTCCTTATCTGATATTTCTTGAAAAGAGCATGAGTCCGGAGGCTGAGCCTTGCAGACCAAGGATGGCAGGGCGGGGTCCTCAGGCTTCTGGTAATGGGGTCCCCTGTAGTCTTCAGGGGGTCCTTCCTGAGGCCTGGGCTGTGCCTCCCTCTTTCTTGAATAAATTGACAGATTAAAATCTCAGTCTAAACCAGAGCTAAGCCAGAAGGTGATTAGATATTTTACAGTAGGATTTTTAGCTTTTTGAAAGGTTTTATCCTAAAATTAATTCCTTAGGTTATCTCAATATGCACTTGAAATAAACCTCCTTTTTTTTTTGTTCACATAGCTTTTCAGGACCATGGCCACTGAGTAAGTCCAGTCTTGTCTACCATCTCCCCATTCCTGGGTGGCTTCTGCAGTGATTTTTTTTGCTTGTTTGTTTGTTTTGAGACAGCATCTTGCTTTGTAGTATGGGCTGGCCTTGAACTCACTAACTCATTATGGAGCTTTGAATTTGTGGTGGCTTTGAATTTGTGGTGATCCTCCTGCCTCACCCTCCCAAGTGCTGAGATTACAGACGTGTACCACCATGCCTGGCTGCTTGTGTCATGTTAAGTGCCTTTCCCATAATACTGTGAGTGTATTGTCATGACTTGTGTGGACAAGTTCTGATCATGGGAACAGGGAGGGAAGCGCTCTAATCCTTTGGTAGTGGGGAATCCCAGCCTGCCCTCAGGCCTTTGCCTGATATTTCCCTGCTACCATGACAGTTTCCTGACCCCAGACAAGTCTCCTAAAGGTCATTTTTAAAAAGAAGCATAAAGAAGGGCCAGGGATTTAGCTCAGTGGCAACATGCCTGCCTCGTAGGTGCAAGGTCCTGAGTTCAATCCCCGGTACCACAAAAAAACAAAACAAAACAAAAACAAACAAAAACATAAAGTGATTAGGCAGAAGTGTAAAAGTGCACACTCACAGAAGGAGAGTGTGCCTCAAAAGAGAGGTGCTACAGTTTGAGCTGGGAATATTTATGTATTCTGGTGGTGGAATTTTTGAATCTGTGGAGAGTTCTTGTCCTGGTCTTGGTTGGGGGGCCCCATCCACAGGAAAGCTAATTGCCCGTTTTACAGGTGAAAGGTGTGAGCCCCATCCGTTGTTTGGATAGATATAAGAAGTTTTGCTTAAAAACCATTCTTTGAACTCTTACCGTTTCTCCCTTTATCTTATGATCAGGTTTCTGCACTTTACCAAGTAAGCTATTTGCGGGGGGTGTCCATTTTATTGAAGCTGTCCAATTTTTTGTTTCTGGTACTGGGGCTCCAAATCAGGACCTTGTGCTTGCAGGCGCAGCACCACTGAGGTAAATCCCCAGCTCCCCAACTAAGCAAATTTATGAACTTAAGTTTCTTTAAGGGAATCTGGGTATGACAGGCCTAGAAGAAAGGAAGCATAAACAAAATCCAGAAATATTGCTGTAGATAACTGTGGGTAACTGACTATGTCCTGGAGTTATAATCTTCTAAAAAGTATAGGTTTTAGTTCTGCTTTTTCTTACTTCCTTTCTACGTATCTTTATCTCTTCTATTCTACCTCATTTCCCCCAAGTTTATTGTTCTAAAGGTCCTTTTGACCAGACCCATGATCCCAGCACTCTGGGAGGCTGAGGAAAGAAGATTGCAGCCTGGACAGTGTAGAAAATTAGCAAGAACCTGCCTCAAAATGAGAAAGGCTGCAGATGTAGCTCAGTGTGAAGTCTTTGGGTTCAATCCCCAGTACTCAGTATTTTTTATAAAAATAAAAATGAAAAGAAAGGTCCATCTTTCCAGCTACAGCGGACCTTCAAGTTTCGACCAGCCAGACATAGGAACAACCTGGGTTGTGACCAGCAATTTAGTTTTATTTTATGACCAAGTTCTTGAGTTACAACCTGAATGTCAGCTGCTTGTGCTTCCAGGTGGTCTCATACAGATTTAACTCTCAAGGAGTTCTGGAAGGTTCGAACATTCCTCCACCCTTTCCTGTGTGGGGTTCGTTGGGAAATCCTGGGCCCACGTCTCTCAAAGGACACTGAGCTTTGCCTGTACACAGGAGAGAGGCGTTGAAAGCTGTGTAGAGGAACCTAAGCCTTCAGTTGACCAACCTAAGTTACAGCCAGCCCTCAGGGATAAACTGAGTTTGTAAGTCAAGGATCCAGCGTACATTACAAACTCCTGGGTTTCTTTTCTGTCAGCTTGCTCATCTCACGCCTTCGTCTTGGCTCTGCTTTTCACGTCTCCTGTAGACCCACCTGAGCTTCAAAGAGTCGTTGCTTCAGGAAGGGACACGTGGTCTGCACAGTCCCAGACCCTCACCTGTCACTTCGCATCTGCCCGGCCTTACCGGATGCAGCCTGGGGTAGCTATGTGTCCCTCCGAAAGCCAAGTCTGTGACCCCAAGGGCACAAAGTAGACAGGTGCCACTGTGGCCCCAGAGCTCTCTTTTCTTGGCTTGGTATTAGCTTGTGTGCTCTGTTGTCTGAAAGAGGGCCCCGGTGGAACTCTGTGTTCTAGGACTTCCTGGCCACTGATGCCTTGGGTCGGCCTTGCCTCCCTTGGGATTGGACAGAGCATGTGGTTTGGGTTGCTTTCGATCTGACACAAAACAGGAGTTCATCGGGGCAGGCATGGCCTTTGGTCCACTGTGCTGCTTATGAGCTAAGGGCTGCCCTGCTTCTCAGACAGGGAACTTCCACGAGACTAGACGTGGTCTCTCATGCACAGGGCAGAGCTGTTGTCTTTTCCAGGAAAGGGCAACCCTTCCTCAGATCTCTGGGGAGAGTAGCATTTGGGTGGAAGTTTTCCTGCTCTCATGACAGCTCTGCCCATGAATTCACCTTTAAGGTCTGCTGAGATGCCCGTCAGGGTGGACGACGTCATGAAGCTGCTCTGCTCCATTTCCCAGGAGAGCAAGATGAAGGCTGCTGTCAAGCATTCTGGGATGGGCGCTCTGGTCACAGGGACTGTGGCCTTCCTTGGTGGTTTGGTCGGTGGCCCACCGGGACTAGCTGTTGGTAAGTACAGGTGTCTCCCCGGACAGCCAGCTCTGGTGGTGTCATAAAAGGGTCTTTGAAATTATAGAGAAGACCACCTTGTAAGAGTGATGTCTGTGCCAGCCCTCGGGAGGCTGAGGCAGGAGGATCGCCCCAAGTTTGAGGCCAGCCTGGGCTACATAGTCCAAGGCCAGCCTGAACAACATAGTGAGACCCTGTCCCCAAAACAAAACAACAACAACAAAAAAACAAAAAGACAAAAGACCCAAAATAATGATGCCTGTGCGTGGGCTTTGTGGAGTTAAAGTTGCATCTGTGAAACGATCTTTGTGTATCTATCTGATCTGTGCTGTTATGCATGGTGGTGCACGTCTGTAATCCTGGCCTTCCAGGAGAGACTGAGGCAGGAAGGTTGAGAGTTTGATCCCAGCTTGAGCAATTTAGCATCTCAGTTAATCCCTGTCTCAAAATAAAAAGCAAAAAAAGGGCTGGGAATACAACTCAGTGTGAAGGCCCTGGTTCAGTCCTCCAGACTGAAGAAATAAATGAATAAATAGAAACATAAGCTTCTTTGTGGTTGCCTCAGAAGGGCAGAGCGCCCTCACGGCCCTCACTTACTGGAGGACCCCTTCCCCAGTGGGGGATCCCAGGCCCCCTGACCCTCCTGTCCCCCAGGGATGAGTCCTGGAGGCTAAGGCTAGGCATCTGCGACCTTCAGGTGGCCTTCTGCATCACCATCATGCCTCTTCGGCGGGGACCTGGTGGGAGTGCGGGGGTTGCTGAGCCCCTACTCTGAGCAGAGGCTGTGCGGTCACTTCTGGCCCCTCTTCCCCGGGCAGCGTGTTCAGGGCCAGCCCCCCCGCTTTGAAAGCAGAACGCCCACTGCAGCATCCGGACCAGACCAGCCTGGGACCTGCATTTGCTGTTAGAGCAGCATCTCATTTTCCACTTTAGTGGGAGAGCCAGTTCCTAGTGACGAAAGAACATCGGGTCCAACTCGCTTGTTGGTCCTTGAAGCTCAGGGGAAGTTTCTTTCTCTGGATTAGGGGCAGGAAGGATTCCCACGTCCCCAGCCTTGGAAGAGCCACGTGGCTCAGCTCAGCTTGCCCAAACGGTGGGCTGGCAGGGGGGTCAGAAGGCCACCGCCAGCCAGGGAACTGAGAGGTAGAACTGGTGTAGCTGCGACGGCTCGGCATCTGCCACCTGGTCTGCCCGGCACCTGCCCGCGGTGTGGTAAAACCCTCCTGGTAGGGGCGCAGTCTCGTGAATGGGCAGACAGGCCCACTTTTATGCTCGGGTGACTTCGGATTCCCAGCTGCTCTTCCCTTGACATTCAAGGACGTTTCCTTAAACTAAAGCCACACTGGGAAGTAAGACAAGGGTGGGGGTGGCCCCACACCTGCCCAGTGCATCTTTCCCTTTCCAAATTTGGTGAATTCTCAGGTCCCAACTTCCGCTCCTTCCCATCCAGGAAGCAAGACGTAAGGGAGTCGACAAGGCCATGTCCTTGCTCCTGGGTGGTTTTCTAAATTGTTGCCCCTTCCCCAGCCAGGTGCTTAGTGGGACGCCTTCCTGGACCCAGCTGCCATCGGGGAGCACATATTTTATTCCGATTGAGTAAAAGCTGGAGGAGAACAGGCTGTCTGCAAAGGGGACCCAGGGGACTTGGTCCTTCCAGGCCCTGGTCATGGGTGGGAGCATGAGACAAAGGAATTGTCTCTTTGCCGAAGAGCTAGTCATTTGCTGCTTGATAGTCCTGGCGACTCTTTGCATTAAGTCCTGATCTAAATCAAATATTGATGTTCCCATAAAGGCTTAGTGCGGAGGAGTGCAACTCTTGTCAGCTCTACGCGTTTCACTGGTGTCATGGGGAAAAGTTCAGTGAAACTTGTGAATTAGCTGGCTTCGCTCTCCAGCACATTCCTTTCCTTCGGGAGGACGCCGGCTGGCCCTGCTCTCAGGACCAGAGGCGGTGTCTTCACCAGGGTGGCTTCTCTGTGGCCCACGCTGCTTTGCTTGCTCTTTCTTTTCTTTTCTTTTCTCTTCTCTCCCTCTCTCTCTTTCCTTCTCTCCTCCCTCCCTCACCCCCCGCTTTGGAATTAAATATTTTATTTCCTTTTGGTTTTTTGAGACAGGGTCTCACTACATAGTTGAGACTGACCTGAAACTCACTATGTAGCCCAGGCTGGTCTCGAACGCACAGAGATCCTCCTGCCTCAGCCTCCCAAGTGCTGGGATGACAGGCGTGTGCCACCATGCCCGGTGAATATTTTATTTCTTATTGGGCTCCAAAGCTGTTGCTTTACTGTGTAAAAACAGCACTGGCAAATGCAGTATATCGTAGAATTGTGACAGTATTGTTCTCATCTGACAGTGTCCAGCTTACACACACTTTCCTCCACTCCCACATATTTTCAAGGGGAAGAGTGTTAAGTATTTTGACCGAGATCCGGGGAGAAATGTAAGCAAATTACAATATTACATAAGGCTTATGATAACAGCTGTCTTCTATATTATTTTTTGCAATGGATAATTTCATGAATTCTAAATATCAGAACCTACATCCTAAGCCAGGCACACCTGTTCTCTTAGCCCTTGGGAGGCTGAGGCAGGAGGATTGCCATGAGGCCAGCCTGGACTACATAGTGAGTTCAAGGCCAGCCTGAACTGTACAGCAAGACCCTGTCTCAAAACAAACAAACAAACAAACAACAAAAACAAGAACAAAACAAAACAAAAACCTCACAGCCTCATCTAAAACTTGTAAGGTGTACAAAAGATGCATCTTCTGTTCATCTGCAATCATTGGGGAGTTAAGGGGTATTTTCTTCCGGTAGCAGAGTTGAGAGTAGTTTCTTTCCCGTCTTTATTCTAGAAGTTGTCTCGTCTTCTCTCCGCCACTAATTTACACAGTGCTGCGGGGTGAGTTACTTCATACTAAGTGGATTTTACATTTCTGTCATGCGCTGAGGTCATCCAGTTCCGAAGGGGCACTGAGTGTCGTCTTCACCAGCCGGCCATCTTCCTTGCAGGCATTGCAGACAGGCCCAGGGTCCTCTGTGAGTGCTTTCCTCCCGACAGAGGAGAATTGTGCTCCCTGGCAGCTTTCATACTTCCCAAGGCACCGAACGCCTCTTGCTTTTATCCCAACTTGAGGCAGACCACGGTAACCAGTACCGCCCGGCTCCCTGTGCCGATCCCCGCTGCTCCCCTGCCGTTTCCTGTTGTCATCTGCTCATGTTTCTCAGTGGATTCGTGAAGCTCTTGGCTGCTCACGGTGCCATATTCGCAGGGGTAGCTAGGGTCGCCGGCGGCACCTCGGGCCTGAAGCAGACTTTTCATTTTGCAATAATAATAAATGTACAGAGAAGTTGCAAAGGTTTGGTGTGGAGAATAACCCCGTCCCTCCTCATGCCCTGTGTCCCCAGCGCTAACATGGACCATGGGGCACTGTGGAAGCTGAGAAATCGACACTGGTGCACGGGTCGCTGTTGACTGTTCCTCGGCCTTGCTTTAGCTCTTCCACCGTTTGCAACATTGCACTGAATCGCCCTATTTCTCTGGTCTGTGACAGTCTCTCAGTCCAAGATATCTGATCCTTTTGAGGGGTACTGAGCAGATGTTTTAAGAATGGCTCTCAGTTTGGGTTCATCTGATGTTTCTCATGGTTAGACTGGAGTTATGGGTTTTTGGAAAGAATATATCGGAGGTGAAAAGCCCTCCTCTTGCTTGAAGTCCAGGGGGATGGCACAGCCTCGTGACATCACCTGTGATGTGCGTGCTGGGTTTTTCTGCTGTGAAGCTTCTGTTTCCTGTTCTGTCCTTTGAGAGTGAGTCACTAGGTCCAGCCGGGCTGCATCTTTAAATATCTGATTGCTGATATTTTAAAATTGCGAGACATTTTAAAGACACAGGTCTGATGCAGGGTCGCCACTGGAGACGGGATCTGGGGTGCAGGGCTGCTCTGCCTGTTTCTCTCCTTTTGATCACCCACTTGGACCCCCGAAGGGACTGGAGTTTGAGATCCCAGGGCACCGCCCCTCGCCCTGTGCCACCCTGTGTGTGGCCTGGGCAGGTGGGACTCTCCATTTTAGGTATCTTCAAGTCCCAAGATAGCACGTCTTAACGTTGGCAGTGCATTTGAATTGTTAGAAAATGTTTGTGCCCTTGTTACCTAGAAGAAAGAGAAGTACTAAGTTACATTCACTTCGCTACTGGTCATCGAAAGACCTGGAGGGGCTGTGTGAAAAACGTTGTGTCAAGAGACGAGAACCGTCTTCTCTGTTCCCAGAGTCCTTCAGCCTTGCGAGTTCCCTGGAAACATCCCCAGCTCAAGGGCAGATGTCCCATCCGCCACAGATGGAGGCAGTTCAGCTTCACCACAGAGATGCTTTTCCTCAGAAATCCTTTTGCCTCTCAGCCCTTTTTAGTGGTGAGAGGGACATTTTCCTGGGACAAACACAGGGCCTTCTTCTGCCCATGAAGAGGATTTTAGGTGGCACAGTCCTGAGGTGGGGCTGGCACTTGCTTCATTTTGCCTGTGTGTGAGGTGCTCAGGGAAGGTGTGTCTGGGTTCTGTTGTCTGGGCACAGGGACTGAAGGCCACATAGACCTTTGCCCTCCATGCTGCCTGGTGGAGCAGGGAGCCCAGCTCACTCTGACCTGTTCACCGGTGTCCCCGCTCGTCACCAAGGTGGACATGTGCTCAGTGAGTCGAGAGCCCGAGGCTAACGAACCCTTCCTTGTCTTCTAGGGGGCGCCATGGGGGGCCTCCTCAGTGCCTGGATGACGAGCGGGCAGTTTAAGCCAATTCCTCAGGTCCTCATGGAGCTGCCCCCTGCCAAGCAGCAGAAGCTCTTTAACGAAGCCTTGGCCATTGTGCGGAACTTGAACTGGACCGACGCCGTGCAGCTGACCACGCTGGTCATGGGCAGTGAGACCTTGAAGCAGCAGCTGCTGGCCATGCTGGTGAACTATATCACCAAGGAGCTGCGAGCCGAGATTTGCTATGACGACTAGGCCTCCCGCCGGGGAAGTGGGTGCCTCTGACTGACTGGGGGCTGCTGGGCAGGCAGGGCAGCCCGGAAGGTCCCCCCCACAAGAAGGCTGCACGTCACCCACATATCGCCGTACACTGGAGCCGAAGGTGCTGCTGCAGAGGCTGGTGCTGGGCTGCGTCACTGTGACTCTTTCCCAGGAAGATGTGTGGCCCGGCAACCTGGGGAGCTGCAGAAACAAGGGCAGACTCTCGCAGGACGCATGGCCACTCTCCGAACCCTCTCTCAATCTCCCAGGATCCTGGAGAAGTCAGCTTGCACCGTGCCTTGCTGACCCCACTTCCCACTCCTCCTCATCTCCCGAAGGGGGCCCTGTTGCAGGATCGGACCGGCTTCTGGTTTGCAGGGTCTCAGAGCCAGCCCTTGCTAGAGCCCTGTCAGCTCCTGAGTGTGCACCACCCCGCCAGTGACTGGAATGGTCTGGTGGGAGGAAGCTGAGCCACAAAAGCCACACAACGTGGCCCTCGTCCCGCTGGCTACAGGCCTAGCCCCTCCCAGGCAGGGGGTCTTGCCTTCCCCCTCTCAAAAGTCATGGAAGTTCTTTTATTATTGTTATTCTGGCTCTTTTTGTTCTCTAGTCTTAGGTTAAATATCACGTCAAATATTTCTTACCCCTGACACACACGGTCCCGTCATATTGCCCAGGTTGGCCCCGCACTCCTGGGCTTAGGTGATCAGTTGCTGTGTGTGGCTGAAACTACAGGCTTGCACCAGGGTGCCCAGCTTCACCTCAAAACTGTGCAGGGCTTGCCTTGAACTCAAGCAATCCTGCCTCAGCCTCCGTGTGCTGGGATTATAAAGCGTGTGTCACCATGCCTGGCTCCTGCCACTTTATCTAAAGAAAGCCTTTCTGTTGTTCTCTGTCCCAGCTCTGTTTTGTCAGAAGACAGATCATGACTCAACTTATTTGTGTCAAAGGTAAAATTACAACAAAGTAAAAGATCTTAACTGAACTGGCTACACTGGAATATTTCTCTGGTCCCAGGTACTTGGGAGGCTGAGGCAGGAGATTCACCTGAGCCCAGGAGTTCAGGACTAAGCGTAGGAAGCACAGTGCAACCGTTTCAAGAAAAGAGAGTCAGAGACAGAGGCAGACAGATCTAATTTGGATTTTATTCACACTTACAGAATCAGGCAACACCTTATTCTGTAAAATAGAATGAGTGTTTGGAAGAGCCAAGTAGAAGAAATAAATAGAGAAAGCTAAGGGAAATCAGAAACAGAACATTGTTTGAAATTGGCCTTGCTTGTACAGGCTAAAGCTAAGGAAAGTGCCTTGTCACCCCAGCCAAAGGTGGCTTATTTGGGGACATGGCTGTATGACTTTTCTCTCTCTCTCTCTCTCTTTCTCTCTCCCTCCCTCCCCAAGATCTCGCTGTGTTGTAGTTCAGTCTGGGCTTTGAATTTACTATGTAGCCCAGGCTGGCCTCAAGCTCATGGCAATCCTCCTGCCTCAGCCTCCCAAGTGCTGGGATTACAACTATTCACCACCACACCTGGCAGCTGTTGCCTCTTATTATCCTGATTTCTCCAAAAGAACATCAGTGATTCCATTCTGGTTTGGGCCATTGGGTTTGGTTCATGAGCTCAGTCCAGGGCAAATACTTCACACACATTTAATTTAACCTTTCTTGCTTGCCTCTTTTTCTCCTGTTTCTATTAGAAATATTATGTCAAGGAGGATAGGATTTAGGGGTCTCCTCTCTCTGCAGCCTAGCACCATATCCATCGTGTGGTAAACAATGTCTTTGAAACACTATATAAACTCCTCCAGTGAGGAAACATCCTCCTATGTTTCGAAAACAAGGAAGCCAAGGGTCGAGTTTCTAACTTCTCTGAAGTCACTGAGACTAACTGAAGATGCCAAAATTTGGCTCTGTACCATGCCAGAGCCCTCTCTCGTGCACCTTACAGAAGCTTTCCAGTTTTCAGGAACTGGTAGTTCTTCAGTTAGAATTTAAGAGAAACATTTTCAGTAAGAAGTCTTGCTCTTTCTGAAGTGGTGGTGAGGCAGGAGATGGGCAAACTGTCTGGGAAAGTGGGCTTAACCTGTCAATTTCAAAGTTCCAGGAGCAGCAGGCCCAGAATAGCTCGGCACAAGGAACCAATCAGAGAGTGCTGTCTTCAGTTCTCCCAAGAACCCAAGCAGGTTTCTGATAGGCCAACCTGGACCTGACCTCAGCCTGAGGAGTGGGAGGTACAAAAGGTGGCGGCCATTTTCCTCATGGCGTCTGTGCTCTCTCACAGTGGTCCACCCTCATGCTGTAGAGTATACTTCTTTTCCTACTTTTACTTCACCCAAACTCATTCTGCAAAGCATATTTCTTTCCTTTTCCTATACATTTTAATAAATGTGAAACTTTGCTACCTTTTGTGCTTGTCTTGACCAATTCTTTGTTCAGGACAGAAAGAACCTAGAAACCACCTCTAAAAGGAAACTTCAGCACCCCCCTAACCCAGTAAGAGTGGGATCCTAAACCACCATAAGGAGTGTTTCTACCCTGTTATAGTTTATATCTAGATGTCTCCCAACAGCCTCAGACACTCATAGGTGAGGATTTGGGGATCTGGGGAGGTGGTTGGATTATGGTGGATCATGGGAGCTTATAGCTGGCCTGCTGTTAGGAGGTGGGCCTGATGGGGGAGGGACGTCGCTGGGGGTGTGACCAGGAAGGGTATCTCTCCCTCCCTGGCTCCTCCTTTCTCTCTTTCCTGGCTGCCATGATGTGAGTAGCTTTTCCTCCGCCAGGCCCCTCTGCCATGCTGTTTCTTCTTTGGAGCCAGCTACCCATGGACTAAAAAACTGAGCCAAAATAAACCTCTCCCTTGAAGTTGTGCATGTCGGGCATTGTGCCTCAGAGGTGAGAATGTGACTAAGACATGCCCCTAAGATTGCCCTAGTACTGTATTGATTTTGCTTTCAGAACTACAACTCAACGTCGTCAGATTACAATAAACTTTTCTGAAAGTCATCCTGTGGATTTCGTATCAGATACCTGACATCCAGAGGCTTACACAAAAACAATGGGAAGGTGCCAGGCTTGTGGCTTTACAGGGTGGAAGGAGGCTCCCCCAGCTCTGTGCCAGGGACTGGGCAGGGCTTGCAGCCCACTGAGGGCTGCAGCACAGGCCTCCCAGGGTGCGGAGGGAGGCGCCTCTGAGGGTCAGCTCGGGAGAGCTCGGTACCGGCCCTCCACTGGTGTAAAGGAAGCTCCAGAGTGACCTGAGTCCCAGGGAGAATTGGCGAGGATGGAGCCTTTGTCGCAGAGAGCTTGCTCTTCGGCTCGGCTTAGCCAGTGCAAATGCTGTGCCCCAGCACAAAGCGACCCTCCTAGAGCGGATCAAGCCACTGGATCCTTTCTGCAACGCTGGAGTTATGTTAATGGGGGACAGGGCAGGGGGGGTGTCAACCACCTGTGAAAGTTGAGTGCACCCTTCTTGTTGGACCATCACCTCTGCTCTTCCTGCTGAATAAACCCCCACAGCGTCTCTTGAACTAAAAATCTAAGACCAGGGCCTGGCCACCCTCTCCACTGTTATAGCTTCAGTGGGCTCTAGAGTTGTCCTCTTTTTTAGTGTGAAGGAGAAAACATTGATTTGCAGATACACGAAAAGGGAACCAGAATACACACTTTCTGTTCGGGGCTTGCTGTTAGGGGACATTTTCCATCTTGAATAGCATACTGAACTCCATAGTCATGCATGCTCTTCTCCTCCGGGAAGAGTCAGGCTGTCACTGAGGTCACGCAGGTCCCTTTGTCACGCAGCTGGGCCCCACCCATTCGGACTCCTCAACACCTTCCCAGCTGCCAGGCTGGGCCCGCGGGACTCAGGTCTGAGACCTGGTGTCCACCAAAGGCCAGGCCTGCCCCGGCCAGGGCTGTCACCGAGAGGGCAGGCTCTGCTGGCAACTCAGCCTTGACAAGCCAGTCCCGGGGCTGGGCGGGAGGGCTCCGTGGGAGCTGAAATTTCCTTGATTTCCACCAAGATTTCTTCTCCTCAGTGACTCTTCGCAGCTCCTGCCATTTTATATTTTATATTTCTGTATCTTTGTAGAAATTTATTTTTGAATAAATAATGACCACTGCTACAAGATTATAAAACACACAGAGCACGGACTGTAAGGAAGACTTCTTCCCTTACCGGCTCTGGTTAACAGAGGGCTGCAAAGGCTGCTTTGTGGCCCCAGTTCCCGCCTCTAGGTGTGGACTTGCTCTGTCTGTGCCTTGAACTCTATTTTATTATTTATGTATATATTTATTTATTTTTTGTACCAGGGATCAAATTCAGGCCCTTGTACTTGCAAGGAAGGCGGTGGAATCACTGAGTCAAATCCCCGGCCCTAACTCTATTTTAAAGTAGCCTCTGAGAAGGGCCAGGGACTTAGCTCAGTGGGGTCGCACCTGCCTCACAAGCACAAGGTCCTGAGTTTGATTCCCGGTTCTGGAAAATAAATAGATAAACAAATAAATCAAATAGACTTTGGAAAATGTTTCATTTCCCTTTAGCTGCCAACATTTATTGCTGAAGATTTTGGGGGAAAAAATCCAAAAATGGATAATGAAATAAAAACCACTACAAAATCCACCATCCTGAATACTGCTATTAAATTTGTTATATTTCCTGCAGAACTTCAAATGCTGCGTGTGTGCATTTCTAACACATTTGCATTTTTTACTCTCTACTTCTCTGTACACGTTTATCAGTTAGTATTTTAATGTTGAATGTTTTTGTTTTATTTCACATCCTTGTGCACAACTGTAATGGCTGCAGAGCATTCCATTGTACTGAACCAGTGAAATACGCAGGTGCTTCCTTTATGCAGAGTTTTACTTTTATATGTTGCAGTGAACATTTTTGTGTTGCTCTCTTTGCCCTTCGAGTCTTTTTCTCTCTTTCTTTTTTCTTTCTATTTATTTATTTATAATTTGAGGAATTGAACTCAGGGCCTTGCACTTGCCAGGCAGGCACCGCATCACTGAGCTACATTCCTGGCTGGCCTGCCTGCCTGTCTCTCTTTTCTTTTCCTCTTTCTTTCCTTCTTTTTCTCTTTCTCTCATAGTACCAAGGAGTGAATCCACGGCCTTTGCAGTGAACTACACCACAGCCAGTCCTCTGAAACTTTTTTTTATTTTGAGACAGGATATCACGAAGTTGCTGAGTTGCCCAACCAGGACTTGAACTTGCAGTCTCAACTTCCCAGAGTGCTGGAATTACAGGCATGCATCTCACACAGCAGTACTTGAGATTTTGATAGACAATCTTTGAATTAAGAATCTTGAATTGCGTGACTTCGTCCACCACCATTCTCCTGTGTCTGGGGATAGCTTCCTGCTGCTGTCTGCCTTGGGCCTGCTGCCAATACGATAAGGGAAAACTCCTGAGGAGATCTGCGAGACCTTTGCTATCAAGAACAACATTATTGAAGAGGAGGAAGGCCAGGAACTCGAGGAAACCAGTAGAGTGCAGAGAAGCGAAACGTTGTCCCTGACACTGTTAACACTATAAGAACTCTTCCAAATGCCAGCTGCACGGCTCTGTTTATAACTGTTTATAGTAGACAAACAAAAGAAATGCAGCAGCAAATCCATTGTATCAGCGTACTGTCCTCATTGTAGTTTGAGTACAGATCCCCAACCGATGCTTGAATTGCTTTTAGTCTGAGCAAAAGTTGCTCAATAAAACTGAACTGTGGGTTCTCTGTAGAAAGTTGACGTTTTGAGCTTTCCCTCTTTTTGTAAAAGTGATTTCTACCTTGTTTCTTGTCCAGTTAACCTTAGTGAGCGCCTGAAAGTTGGCACTGTAAATTAAACAACTCACAGAATGTTTCCTGAAATAGAATTAATAAAATATTTTCTTTATGCAGAAGTTGGAAACTGGGAAAAGGTTACTGGAAATAACTGTTCAGAGTTGGGTTACTTAAGATCTTCCAGCCTCCTCTAAGCCAAGCAGCGTCACAGGTATAGAGAGGCCAGGGCTCCCTTAGTTGGACCTGAGGACTTATTTTATTTGTTTTTCAATTTTTTATCTTCCCCATTTTGAGTATGTTGGCCAGAGACTCAGTAAACTATCAAGTTTGTGGTTTGGGGGAGAAATGTAACTAGACAGTTTGTCAGCTTTTCAATTAAAGATGACACTTAAAAAAAAATCTTGCATTAAGTGAAATTGCTAGGTTAGAAAGTATGCACTAGTTTAAAAATTGGTTGTTGGCCGGGGATTTAGCTCAGTGGTGCCACCACCTGCCTTGCAAGCTCAAGGTCCCAAATTCAATCCCTAGAACAAAACAAACAAAAAAAAAATCGTTGCTGCATTCCCCTGAAATTATCCCGGAAGGCAAGGCAGTGCGGGTAATCCATTCTTCCAAAAAGATGTGGAGCGCGCACAGATCGCTGTATTCTCACCAAGGAATGAAATGGGGGGGATCTCAAATCTTTATTAATTTGATGGGTGACTTCTGACATCTTGGTTTCTTTCTTTCTTTCTTTCTTTTTTGTTTATTTAAAAATTTTTATAACCCCAGTGGTGCCAGCTGGGCCGCTGGAGTGGTCCCTGTGTTGGGGCTGGCGGGCCCTGACACCTCAGGGCTGGGGTGGCCCTGTGTCCCTGCCGGGGGCTGTGCGGTGTGCGGCGGGGATTATTTTTGAGACAGGGTCTCACTATGTAGGTCAGGCTTGCTT